TTTAGTGATTCTGGGGATAGAACCCAGGGCTGTGGTACTGAGCTGCAGCCCCTGCCTTTTTTATTTTTTGCTTTGAGATAGGGTCCATCTACATCTCTGTTGCCTAGGCTGGGCTCGAACTTGTGTCATTGGCAAGGAAGGACCTGTGTGGGGGTTTGGTCCATGGTGGAGCTGTGGGTCAGGAGCTGTCTTTGCCCCTGAGGCCCACACCTTGTCTGTGGCTGCAGTGGCCTGGCTGGCCTCGGTCCTTCCAGTGTGACATGTCCAGTTGTGTGGGACTGCTCTGGGGACGTGGACAGCAGGGGCATTTCCAGGTCACTGCTCCACAATATCCCACACACAGTGGCAGGAGTGGGGAGGGCTGGAGGAGGGAGGAGGCAGAAGGAGAGTGAGGGTGCTTCCCAGAGGCCCACAGGGCAGCCCAGCTCCCAGCATGCTCTGTGGTCTCATGAGGCCCCTTCTCTGTGGTCCTCCTTCTGGTATCTCCTGTTTGAATCTTTATCTGCCTCTCTGGGAGCCTCATCCCCTGCCCTTGAGAACTGGTCTTGCCCTGGGGTCCTCTTTAGTGACACATTTCACAACATCTGGGCTACAGCATGACAACGTGGCTGTGGGCCCTCCGTGTCCCAGGGGAAAGTCTTGGGATCAGGGAAGGGTAGCTTTGTTGATCCACCACCCATGGCCTCCTTCCCACCAACAACCCAGGGGTGAAGGTTAGAAAATACAGACACACACCCGCACCCCAAGAGCAAATACTGTCATGAGCAAAAATAAAAGCCACGATCACTGGGCTTCTCACTTCAGCCTGGAAAACTGAAAATTCTGCATGCAAATGATATGTGGAGGGAGAAGGACCTGCTCTGAGTTTCCCTTCCCATGGGAGGAAGAGGCAGTTGCTGATTCATCCACCAGATATTTATTGTGCGACTGCTGTGGACAGATGACGTTCTGTCTCTGGTAACCACACCAGGGATCAAAACAGAAGTCCCTACCTCTGTGGTGTGTGCAGTCATGCAGCTCCTCAGTGGGATGTGCTGTGTCAGGAGGGGGAGTGCAAGCCGAGCTCCAAGGACGGCCTTGGTGTAAAGGCCTTGGTGTAAAAGGCCTTGTGTAAAGAGCCCACGTGACTTTCCAGCCCTCAGACTTCAGGAAGCCCCATCCCCTGGGGCCTCAGTTTCCCCATCCACAAAATGCGGATTATCTTGTACGCCTCAATGGATGGGGGGAGCAAGGGGAGGGTATCTTACAAATGCAGTCGAGCAGCAGATGCATCTCAATTGCTCGCACAAAAGCAGTGTTTAATTTTGAGCCTCTGTTCAACCACCACAGTCACCTCAAACATACAAAGAAATGTTTTGAAAATGATTTCAGTTTTGACCATAGATGGCTTTTGTTTCTGATTTACATTGTAACAGTGCTGGTTTAGTTTAAGGAAATTGGGGCATGGAGAGGAATTTTATAGAGGGCAACAAAAATACCTCTAAAGTTTGAGAGAGACTAAAAGCAAATAAGCAGGTTTCCCCTGCTCACAAGTGCCCGAGAGGATAAAAATGCGGCGTTGGTTGTTTCATGTTATATGTACGCATTTGTTTTTTTCGCCCTGGAAGACTCTGATCCCTTCTGAAGCCAGTGGTTTGCTCGGCTCCCTGCTGGATGTGGTCTCCAGCCTCAGCTCCCTACTTACCAGAGCCCGACATGTCCTCAGACACCTTCCTGAGTTTCTTCACGCCTTTAAAATGAATACTCTGCTAGACACGGCAGATTTTGAGAAGGTACGTGTTTGATCACTGGCCCCCCCGGGAAATGTTCCAATTTGCTCTTTCTTTGTATTTGCTCCCTTTGCCTTGATTTCTCTTCCATCATCTACATTTTGTATTGGACAACAAAATACAGGGATGAGAAATCATTTTGATGTCTCTGGAGGCAACAGCATGGCACAGTGAGGCCTGCATTGCCCTAGAAACCAAATGAAGGGGACCTTGTCGCTACACATCCCGGCTGCGCACTGGCGGGGATCCTTTGAGCATTCTGTGAAGTAAGAAATCTCTGACTCAATTATGTGCATAGATGAGATTTCAAGGACCTGTTTGACTTAATTCAGAGAGCAAATTGCTTTCAAGAACCTGAAGACATTTATTTACATATAAATAATTGGCTTACAAATTACAGATCATTTTCTGAAGATGCAAATAGAAACTTGGATGAGATTCGCAGTTGGATACTAGTTTGTGCTTGGAGTGTCTGTGTCCAGCATGGGCTGACCAGGAGTAGATTAGGAGGGCTGTGGGGTTTCACGCAGAGCTGGAGGTGTGGAGTGAGGAGAGGGCCAGTAGGGTCCATGGATCTGTGCAGAGGCAGCTACTCCGCTGCTGGGTCTGGGCAGTGACCAGCATCACGGTAACTTGGCAGCATGAACACACACTAAGATGGCCCAGTTACCAGTTATATTTTGTGGATTAATTTTATTGATGAGCAACAGGGACTTGTGTGTGTGTGTGTGTGTGTGTGTGTGTGTGTGTGTGTGTGTGTGTGTGACATGTTTCTCTTACTAAGTATA